TTTCTTAAGCTCAAGGAACTGAAGAACAAATTCAAACCTCGAGTTGCTACAATCAAGGATTCTTTAGGCAGAATGTTAAATGATCCAGGAGGTATGAAAAGAAGATGCAGGAATATACTGAGTCATTGTATCGAAAGGAATTGGCAGATACAGAAGAATTTAATGAAATAGCATTTGAGGCAGAGCCTGTGGTGATGGAGGCAGAATTTCAAGCTGCTTTGAAGGCAAAAGAAATTGAGTAGCTTTGTTATTAATAAGTTTGTGAGTACATTGTTTTTGTTGTTGTTGTTATGTGCCCTCGAGTCGCTTGCGACTCATAGCGACCCTGTGTACAGCAGCCCTAAACTCCGCTCTGTCCTGTGCCGAATCGCACTATCTCTGACACTCCCATCCCAATTATCCCAGTCACTGAATCAGGGCCTTCCTCTCCTACGCTGTCCCTCCACCCTTCCAAGCATGATGTCCCTCTCTAAGACCGGTCTCTCCTCACAACATGTCCAAAGTATGTTAGACGGAGCCTCAGAATCCTTGCCTCCAAGGAGCCACCTGGTTTAACCCTTTTCAGGACAAATCTGTTTGTTTTCCTAGCAGTCCATGGTATTCTCAATACTCTTCTCCAGCACCACAGCTCAAAGGCATCAATTCTCCTTCTATCCTCCTTGGTCATTGTCCAACTCTCTGATGCATAAGAAATGATTGCGAAGACCATGGCCTGTATCAGACGCACCTTAGTCTCCAGAGAAACACCATTGCTCTTCAGTACTTTGGAGAGGTCCCTAACAGCTGACTTTCCCATGGCAGTGCACCTTTTAAATTCCTGGCTGCTGGTGCCAAGACTGTTGACTGTGGAGCCAAGCAAACTAAAGCTATGTACAATACATTATATATTTTGAATAAGGAATTTCTTACCAACTATTCTGCAAGTTTTTTCTTCAGGTTGTGGCTTGAATCTTTTTTTTTTTTAATCCCCTGCTTATACTGTCTTTTGATAAGTTTTTCTTTCGGATAAAGACTGTTAATTAGTTTTATAGTGTGTAGCAAAGATGTCAGTGACTGGGATAATTGGGATGGGAGTGTCAGAGACAGTGCGATTGGCACAGGACAGAGCGGAGTTTGGGGCTGTTGTACATAGGGTCGCTATGAGTCGCAGGCGACTCGACGGCACATAACAACAACAACAAGCAAAGATGTATTATCACAGTTTTGTTTTGTGAATTAAAATATTAATATAAAAATTTCATTCAGAAATTTTGATTTTTGCAGTGTCATAGTGTCATTAGCCAAGGGAATAAGAAGCCCCAAAATAGAAAAGAAAAAGAAGAGAAGGTTGAAAAGAGAAGCAACAGTGAAAGCAAAGAAAACCGAGAAACAAAGTTAGATGGCCCCATTGAAAATGTTAGCGAAGATGAGACTCAGTCAAGTAATCAGCGAAAGAGAGGTAACTATATCATTATTTTAAGGAAAATTATAGTAAAGATTATATTTAGATGTTTTTCTTAGTCGCCACCTGTACATATTTTGTATTTTTTTTTATAAGACCGAAAATGGGAATGGGTTTGCTTTTGTTATTTTTTTTGTTTTGTTTTTTTGTTATATTTTTAAACTAATAGAGTTTCCTTATTGTATTTGTCTTTGTTGTGTGTGTATGTGTGTGTATTTATATATCTGCATATTTATGAAAAATATATATGTCCTTTACAGATAGATAGATATAGATGCCATGTTTATATACAGATATGTCTGGGAGAAGGTACAGCCGGAGTGCTCTTTGGAGGCAAGAATGTTGAGGCTTTGCTTCGTATAATGTGGTTATATTGCTAGGAGGGGCTGTTCCTTTGAGAGGGATATGATGCTTGGAAAGGCAGAGGACAGCAAAGGACAGGAAGACCCTCCACCAGGTGAATTGAAACAGTGATTGCTGTAGTGAGCTGTTGTTTGTCTGGAAGTGTGAGGATGGCACAGGATAGAACAAGATTCAGATCTTTTGTTTGTGGGGTCACTATGAGTCAGACTTGACTTGATAGCACCTAACAACAACAACATATATGAAAATGGAATGAAGTTTTACTTGCAGAGACGATTGAGGATCTAGTTTAAATACTGTGATAATATTCTCTTAAATCTGTATTAGAGGCCTCCTTCATAATTTCCTTTCCTGAAAGGTTAGTACAGGCCTTTGGAGTGCATCTTTTCCAATAAATCTTTTTTTTTTTTTGCTTTTATCTTCCACCCCTAAAATCTGCATTAGAACTACATTTTCCCACCCTAGGGAATTCTGGGAAAATGAAATTTTTTTTTTCGAGGTGAAAAATGAGAGCAATTTTATTTTCTAGAGTTTGCCTCCCTAAATTAACTCTTTTATTATGTACCAGTGAGTCAGGAAGTTTTGGTGGCCTAGTGGCAAGAATCTGAGTTGCAATTTTGAAGACAGGTGATTCAAATCCACCAGCTGCTCTATGAGAGAAGGGCGGGCAATCTCCTCCTGTACGATTAACTGCCTCTGAAAACTCTCCAGAAGATCGGCTATGGGTTGGTTCCGACATGATGCTATGCAACAGCAAATCTGAACTCCAGCAGATTTTCAGAGGCAGAAAATTTTATGGGAGGAGGTTATCTCTCTCTCTCCTGTGGAGCAACTGGGTAATTCAAACTACAGGCCATTGAGTTGTCAGCACAGCTCCTTATCACTAGACGACCGGATCTCCCTTGAAGATACACATACATACATTACGTCCATTTTTCCATATTTTCATTAAGTGTTGTATAAATCCAGACAAAAGTACGTTCAGTGGCCTATAGGCAGAAAAGACCTTTTGAACTATCATAGGGTCAGTGGCTGCACTGTAAATGCTTTTCATTATTATTGTTGTTGTTAGGCATCATTGAGTCAACTATGACTCATATCAACCCTGTGAACAAAAGATTTGAACCCTGTTCTATCCTGCGTCATCCTCACACTTTCTGACACACAAGAACCCATTGCAGCAGTCATCTAGTTGAGGATCTTCCTCTCCTTTGCTGACCCTTCACCCTTCCCAGCATCATGTCCTTCTTTAAGGAATAACCCCTCCTAGCAACATGTCCAAAGTATGTAAGGGGAAGCCTCATTATTCCTGCCTCCAGTGAGACACCAGCTGCACTCTCTCCAAGACCTACCTGTTTGTTCTCTTGGCTGTCCTTGGGATGTTCAGTGGTCTTCTCCAACACCACAGCTCAGAGGCATCAGTTCTTTTTCTTTCATCCTTATTTATTGTCCAGGTCTCAGATGCATAGCAAGTAAACAGAAAGACAATAGCCTTAATCAGACACACTTTAGTCCTCAGAGAAGTCCCTAATTGCAGATTTCCCAGTGCAGTGCATCTCCTTATTTCCTGATTGCTAGAACCAAGTGCTTTAATTGTGGATCAAAGCAAGATGAAGCTGTTGACAGTTTCAATCTCCTCTCCATCCATCATGATGGTGCCTGTTGGTCCAGTGGTAACAGTCTTTGTTTTCTTGGTATTGGGATGTGGTCCATACTGAAGGCTGCATTCCTTGATCTTTTGCAGCAAGTCCTTCAAGTCCTCCTTATATTCAGCAAGCAAGGCTGTGTTATCTGCATAACGCAGTTTATTGATGAGTCTCTCTCCAGTCCTGATGCCACACACTCCTCCTCATAGAGTTCAGCTTCTCGTATAGTTTGCTCAGCATACAGATTTAATAGGTATGGAGAGAGAATACTTTGATGTACTCCCTTCTCAATTTTAAACCATGCAGTGTTCCCCTGCTCTGTTTGTACTGTGGCCTCTTGGTCCAGGTATAGATTCCACATGAGAACAATTTCAATTCTTCACAATGTCAGTCACATTTTGTTATGAGCCACACAGTCACATGCCTTTGTGTAATCAGTAAAGCATAAATACACATTCTTCTGGTATTCATTACTTTTAGTCAGGCAGGATCCATCTGACATCAGCAGTGATATCCCAGGTGCCACGGTCTCTTCTAAATCCTGTTTGACCTTCTGCTAGTTCCATTATAGCCATTTTTGAATGATCTTTAGCAGTATTTTGCTTGCATGCTATATTAATGATATTGTTCCATAGTTTCCACTCTCAGCTAGATCACTTTTCTTGGGAATAGGAACAAATATTGACCTCTTCCAGTCTGTTGGTCAGATAGCTATCCTCCAGATTTCCTGGCACAGACAGGTGAGCACATCCAAGGCTGCATCTGTTAATTGAAACAAGTCACTTGGTAGACTATCCCTTCCTGGAGCATTATTTATTTCCAGTGCTTTCAATGCAGCTTCCACTTCCTCCATTACCACTGACTCCTATTCATACGATATTTCCAAAAATTTTTCAGTGTCAGTCATTTTCTGGTACAGTGTGTTTCCTCCATCTTTTTTGATGCTTTCTGGATCATTCAATATATTGCCCATAGCATCTTTCAATTTGTGATACGAGCCTTAAATTTGTTTTTCAGTTCTTTCAGCTTGAGAAATGCAGAAATGAGTTTTTCTCTTCTTACCATTTAAATTGGTAGAAGAATCACCAACAGCCTGCGTTATGCAGATGACACAACCCTGCTTGCTGAAACTGAGGAGGACCTGAAGTGCTTTCTGCAGAAGGTCAAGGACTGCAGCCTTCAATATGGATTGAAGCTCAGCATCAAGAAAACAAAGATTCTCACCACTGGGTCAATTGGCAGCATCAGTATGGATGGTGAAGAAATTGAGATAGTTAACAGTTTTAGTTTACTTGGCTCCACAGTCAACACTCTTGGTAACAGCAGCCAGGAAATCAGGAATTGAATTGCATTGGAAAAGTCCTCTGTGAGGGACCTCTCAAGAGTACTGAAGAGCAACGACGTCACGATGGAGACAAAAGTGCACGTGATCCAGGCTATGATCTTTGTAATTACGTGCTATGCATTGGAGAGCTGGACAGTGAATAGGG